TGCAGCAAAATGTATGTAGTGGACTACCTAAAGTTTAATTTGTATTTCTCCCACTCCTACTGTAAAGCTACAGAATAATGTACAAAGATTAAAAAAAGGGAGCTGCCCTTTACACAATAACTCTACAGGAAGTTTCAGAGTTTTAAGGAGGGTCTTTTTTTCTGTAAGTGGATCTTTACACATTTATTAATCACACAGGATCTGAATATACAGTACAGGCCAAAAGTTTGGACACACCTTCTCATTCAATGCGTTTTCTTTATTTTCATGACTATTTACATTGTAGATTCTCACTGAAGGCATCAAAACTATGAATGAACACGTGGAGTTATGTACTTAACAAAAAAAGGTGAAATAACTGAAAACATGTTTTATATTCTAGTTTCTTCAAAATAGCCACCCTTTGCTCTGATTACTGCTTTGCACACTCTTGGCATTCTCTCCATGAGCTTCAAGAGGTAGTCACCTGAAATGGTTTCCACTTCACAGGTGTGCCTTATCAGGGTTAATTAGTGGAATTTCTTGCTTTATCAATGGGGTTGGGACCATCAGTTGTGTTGTGCAGAAGTCAGGTTAATACACAGCCGACAGCCCTATTGGACAACTGTTAAAATTCATATTATGGCAAGAACCAATCAGCTAACTAAAGAAAAACGAGTGGCCATCATTACTTTAAGAAATGAAGGTCAGTCAGTCCGGAAAATTGCAAAAACTTTAAATGTGTCCACAAGTGGAGTCGCAAAAACCATCAAGCGCTACAACGAAACTGGCACACATGAGGACCGACCCAGGAAAGGAAGACCAAGAGTCACCTCTGCTTCTGAGGATAAGTTCATCCGAGTCACCAGCCTCAGAAATCGCAAGTTAACAGCAGCTCAGATCAGAGACCAGATGAATGCCACACAGAGTTCTAGCAGCAGACCCATCTCTAGAACAACTGTTAAGAGGAGACTGCGCCAATCAGGCCTTCATGGTCAAATAGCTGCTAGGAAACCACTGCTAAGGAGAGGCAACAAGCAGAAGAGATTTGTTTGGGCCAAGAAACACAAGGAATGGACATTAGACCAGTGGAAATCTGTGCTTTGGTCTGATGAGTCCAAATTTGAGATCTTTGGTTCCAACCGCCGTGTCTTTGTGAGACGCAGAAAAGGTGAACGGATGGATTCCACATGCCTGGTTCCCACTGTGAAGCATGGAGGAGGAGGTGTGATGGTGTGGGGGTGTTTTGCTGGTGACACTGTTGGGGATTTATTCAAAATTGAAGGCACACTGAACCAGCATGGCTACCACAGCATCCTGCAGCGACATGCCATCCCATCCGGTTTGTGTTTAGTTGGACGATCATTTATTTTTCAACAGGACAATGACCCCAAACACACCTCCAGGCTGTGTAAGGGCTATTTGACCAAGAAGGAGAGTGATGGAGTGCTGCGGCAGATGACCTGGCCTCCACAGTCACCGGACCTGAACCCAATCGAGATGGTTTGGGGTGAGCTGGACCGCAGAGTGAAGGCAAAGGGGCCAACAAGTGCTAAACACCTCTGGGAACTCCTTCAAGACTGTTGGAAAACCATTTCAGGTGACTACCTCTTGAAGCTCATGGAGAGAATGCCAAGAGTGTGCAAAGCAGTAATCAGAGCAAAGGGTGGCTATTTTGAAGAAACTAGAATATAAAACATGTTTTCAGTTATTTCACCTTTTTTTGTTAAGTACATAACTCCACATGTGTTCATTCATAGTTTTGATGCCTTCAGTGAGAATCTACAATGTAAATACTCATGAAAATAAAGAAAACGCATTGAATGAGAAGGTGTGTCCAAACTTTTGGCCTGTACTGTATGTCTGAAGTCTCATGTTTGCTCAGATCTGACTGAGTTACGACTCTGAGAGGGAGTATGTTTTTTGGCACCAACTGAGGCAGTTTGGTTGTAAAATCCTTCAATAGCCTCAATCAGTTACGTGTCACAGACCATGTTGATGAGCAGCCAAATCAGCATGCCAAACTACAATTACAAACTTCCTGTTGTTGTCAGGACACCTTTCGCTTTTACCTCACACAGTGTCTTCACCTCACCTCTCTTTTTAAATATCTTTGTAATGTCAGCTCAGGTCAGTTTTCAACACAGCTGCACTGTAGTGTGAAGGTGTGCTTATTTTGGCTGTCCTGATATCCTAGTGGAGGGGATGTTTTGCAGAACCAGCCTTGTATCGTAACAATATGGGTCGTATGTGTAACTATACGGTGTTAAATCTTTCCGGATCATACCAGCACCTAGATCTCAGTCCTCATCTCTCGGCTCAAATTCACTGGGGAAGCATTTTGCATCATCCTGCAGCCTTTCACTGGCACCCGAGCTGTTGCTCAAACTACAGATTATGCTTCTGCATTTTTGTATATCTGCCACCACAGACACAAAGAGTATAGAAGTGGATCAACTCAGATTAGACTGTAAGACTAAGCAGTACTTCTACTGTACTGTTTGTGTCTCTTCAAAAAACATATTATAGTGCACTGTTTGGCTGTTATACGAGATCATTTGTTACCAGCCAGCTGCCATATTGTTTCCTGTGACAACAATGGTCAAGCTTGCATTATGTCACCCACCAGAGGGAGCATTTATTGGTCTTGTGTGGCGCAGTGCATTCTGGTAGTTGTAGGTTTTCTATCTCTTGAGCTAAATCAAACGCCACAGCTCTTTTCCTCTGTTTTCTCTGGTCATGTAGCACCAAAAGTATTTGTGTTTTCCGCTGCATAGACAGCTTAGTTTATGAAAAGACCATCTTTCCAGCAGTGAAATATCTTTTTAAGATACATACTATGTAATTCTCTCCTCCTCCTCTCTCCCCATGTTTACTATCTGTCTGCCTAAAATACCAAAAGAAAATGTGTTGATTGTAGTTTACATTGGACTTTTCCCGGGCTGTCCTGAATACCAGTTTTTGGGCATTGAAGCTTCAGATAGAAAAATCTGTAATTAATGTACGCTTCAGTGGGGGTTAATGAGAGACGGGGACATAAGTCAGACTTTTTTTTAAATATTAGTTTTCAGTCGAGCATGTGACTATTAGCCATTTTGTTAGCATGCAGGTCATAGTAACATTAACCATAATAACTAGAAAAAAAGAATACTTTGCAGGATGACTGAGATGTTACTTACAGTTTTCAGGTGATTTGCCAAGCTCGTCATAGATTTTTGATATGTAGGTTTCCTTTGGGTATATCTGACACTCAACTTTTAGGGGGGTTTCTCTGTCAATTTAAAAACTAGTCCAGACAAATGGCTTTCTGGACATTTTGCTAACATATCTGTAAACCTGTCACATGTGGCCAAACTTTGTCAGTTTCAGTAGTGCTGGAAACAAACTGTTTCGATTGATCCACACTGCATGGAAAATAAAAGGTGTCAAAGAGTACATTACAAGTCAAGCCAAAAAGATCATCAGTGACTCCTCTCCTCTTAGAGTACGCATACCTTTGTCTATAAAGCTTTTAAACAATGGCAGATAAAGCCAGATCTGGCACTGGATTATGACGATTTGCTGACTTGCACTTTCACAGAGATATTTTTAGCGTATGATGTTATTTATTTATTTACCTTTTTGTGTTTCTTATTGCAACGTTGGGTATAATGTTGATTTGTCTATGCACTATGTTGAATGTTGTATTTCTATGGCTGCAGTATGGGTGTAGGGCCCAGGACAAATGTCCTGCACTGTGAGACAATAAAATGAATCTTGATCTCAGTGACTGATGTGAGATGAGAGCAAGTTTGGACTCAGAAAACTATCACACACAGACACACACACATAATTATATAT